GATTAATCAGCTTAGTAATTCATCTAAAAAGGTTTTACTGGAATTATATAATAATATCTGGGAATTAGGCTTTTTACCTAAAGCATGGAAAGAAGCAATCATATTTCCAATCCTCAAACCAGGTAAAGAACGATCAAACCCAGCCAGTTATAGACCTATAGCTTTAACTTCACATTTATGTAAAATTATGGAGAGAATGATAAATGAACGACTGACTTACTTTGTTGAGAAGAGGGGATATTTATCAAGATTCCAAAGTGGATTTAGAAAAGGTAGAAACACTATGGATCCTGTTTTATGTTTAGAACATGAAATCAGGAAAGGACAAGTTAATAAGGAGAGTGTGGTGGCTGTCTTTTTTGATATAGAGAAAGCTTACGATATGATGTGGAAGGAAGGTTTATTAATAAAACTAACAAAGATGGGAATAAATGGTTCAATGTTTAATTGGATAAAAGATTTTTTACAAGATCCATCAATACAAGTGAGAATAGGAAAAACATTTTCAGAAAATTTTTTGGTTGAAAATGGAACTCCCCAAGGAAGTATATTGAGCCCACTGTTTTTTTTTTCTATTATGATTAATGATATGTTTGAAAATGTGGAGAATGGAATGGGGTTTTCTTTATTTGCTGATGATGGGGCAATCTGGAAGAGGGGGAAAAAAATTAAATTTATTGTAAAAAAAGACACAAGAAGCAATTAATGAAATAGAAAACTGCTCCTTTAAATGGGGATTCAAAATTTCTATAGATAAAATGAAGACTTTATTTTTTACAAAGAAAAAAAGTATCAGAAAATGTAAAATGTAAAATATATAATCATGATTTGGAAAGGGTAAAGCAATTTAAGTTTTTGGGTCTATGGTTAGATGACAAACTTACTTGGAAAGTGCGTATTCAGAACATAATAGATAAATGTAAGAGAGTGTTAAATGTAATGAGGTGTTTGGTGGGGAGTGAGTGGGAGCTGAGAGGAAATCACTGAAATCAATATACACAGGTTGAATTAGGTCCTTATTTGATTATGGCAGTAGAGCATTTGGGTCAGCATCAGATACATTACTCAAAAAATTAGATAATATTCAGCATCAAGCCTTGAGATTATGTACAGGTGCCACCAGAACAACTGCAACATCAGCTTTACTGGTGGAAATGGAAGAAATGCCACTTCAGCTTAGAAGATTACAAAAACTTTCAACTTACTGGTGTCATTTAAAAGGTCATAATGAAAATCATCCATGTCAAGAGATTTTAAAAGCTAGCTGGGAAAAAGAGAAAAAGAAATTAAATTCATTTGGATGGACTGTAGAAAACATTATAAAAGATTTAGATATATCTCACATAAATATTAGCCAAACAGTTCCTCAGTCTCCAGTTCACCCATCTCTTTTAACTAATGGTGATGTTGATCTCACTTTGTTGGAAAATCTTAAAAAAGAAAACATTTCAGATTCTCATTCAATACAAGCATATTTAGATAGTAAGTATTATGGATATGTCCAAATTTATACAGATGCATCAAAAAACTCAAATAACAGTAGCGGGGTTTCATTCATTGTTCCAGAGTTCAGTTTCAGAACAGGTAAAATAATTACTGGTGTAGTCCCAGTTTACACAGGAGAGATGATGGGAATCATTTTAGCTCTGGGATGGATTGAGGAAGTTCGTCCATTAAGGAGTGTAATATGTTCTGATTCAAGTTCTTCATTATACTCATTGAAAAATAATCATTCAGACAGCAGACCTGACCTTTTATTAGAAATTCAATTGTTAATTTATAGAATTCAAGCGATGGGTTTATTAATTACATTTATATGGATATCATCACATATAGGAATAAAAGGAAATGAGTTGGCAGATAAATATGCAAAACAAGCAACAAAAAATACTTACATTGATATACTGGTACCATTCAGTAAAGGAGAAATCAAATGAGTTATTAAACAAAAGGTGAAGGAAAGATGGCAGAAACAGTGGGAAGAAGAAAGAACTGGCAGGTGGTTTTATAACGTTCAAAGGAAAATTGGTGCGATGAGGAGAACAGGACAAACAGAAAGGAGGAAACAGTCATATCCAGATTACGTTTAGGCCACACAGGATTAAACAGTATGTTGTTTAAAATGGCAAAACATCCTACAGGAAAATGTGACTTTTGTTTCCAAGAAGAGACAGTGAATCATGTTTTATTATTCTGTCCCAAATATTCAGCTGAGAGAAAGAAGTGGCAGGTAGACCACAGGACAACAAAATACAGCTGAATATACAGGAGCTGTTGGATAAACTTCTCACTGCTGAACATGTTGTTTTTTGTTAAACTACCTTAAGAAGACGGGAAGAATCGAGAGAATATAGTTTTTTTTTCTTTCTTATTTTATTATTATTATATTTAGTTAATTATTATTATTATTATTATTATTATTATTATTTATTTATTTATTTATTTATTTTAGTTAAAACCTGTGTAGTAATTATTTAGCATCCCAATCCACACTCCATTCCAGTAGATGGCGGTAATGCACATCTAAACGTTGCTTGTGTAGTGAACTAGGCCTGATGTCAAAACCTTGACCTTAGGACCTTATGGGACAGAAACTGTCATTTCATTGATTTGAATCCAGAAATACAGGTTGACCCATCCTGAGACTTTCTTTCTTGAATTAATCAAGTAAAAGAAGACTACTTTCTATTATCATTACTATTTTACAAATGTTTGATAATCAAATTGTGTTAGTTCAAACAATATTTAAATGTTGAAGTGAACTACTCATTTTTAAATCAACTGTGAAACAGTAATAACGATTTTTAATCCTCATTCAAAGAAGAAATCAGGTTAATGATGAATTGTCTGATTTTCTGTCTTCAATGAGCAAGTGTGTAAGTTGGTCAAAGTTCAAGTTTCGGTCAACTGCAAGTTTACTGAAAAAGAAATGTCATGTTTAACTTTTACAGCAAGATACTAGAGAATTGACTCCACGAAGTCTGAAGTTCTTCATAATATCTTTTGTCTGTTCTTAAACAATCTTAATCTTTTTCCTTGACTTTTCATAACACCTTACATCACAAAACACACCTCTGTTTTGGTCCCAAAACCAATCAGAAACTCCCAAATGAACCGGAAATAGAGCTCTTTAAATGTTGGTACTTTCTAGTTCAACCCAGTAAGTTTTTAGTTTAGTTTTTAGAAGAGTTGCTGTAGATGAAGAAGTTCTGCAGGAACTCGGCAGTTCCAGAATGCAGAATGCTGGAATGTAGCATGCTCAGTACATCTGCCACTAAGCTGGACGAGAGAAGTTCAGAGGAATTATGAAGTCTGTTCTGGATGATCTCACGACTCCCGAGGTTTAGCTGTTCTTACGGAGACGCTGAAAAGTGGCTCGAAGTGGAACTTTACGCCGGAACTGACATATCTTCAGAAAGGTAAAAAGTCGATCTTCAACCAAAGTGTACCGTTGGGTTAAGCTGGTCCAAAGGAGCGTGCTGTTCTGGTTAAAACAGACAAATTCCCTCACACATCTCTCTCAAGATAAACTTCATCTTTCCATCTTTAAAACTCTTCTATCAAGTAGAAATTAATCCAGATATTTTTAGAAATGTCTAAAGCAAAGTTTTCAACCACCGCCGTGTGGTAATGCCTGTTGTACTACTGGAAGTGAGAACAATCGCTGTATTGTTTACTTCCTGTAAAACTGATTAATAAGCTGTCGTTATTTTCAATTTTTGCCAATTAATGTAAATGTGTGATGTGTTAAACTTGATTCTGTTAATAAATGACCCACTGTCGTTGGTGAGTCAAAGATAATTAACGTCTCACGTCCACATTTTATTAAATTCAGATGCACGTCATTATACAGTCCAGAAAAATGAAAGAATCCGGTTAATTTATGAATATATCTCATGCATATGTTCATCTACACTTGCCAACCGCCATAAAACACAAGAAGAAGAAGAGGAACACTGAGGAGTGAGTGGGAGGTGACCGAAAACAGAATCACAATCACACAACATTATAAAGAGCAGAATGACAAACGCAATAAGCAGAGAAGGGGACGACAGAAATACCAGACAGCTAAAGGACAGACTGTGACAAGGGTGTTTTCCTTCAGGCCAAATTAAGATTACCGACTGGTCATTTGCTGACACACCTACTGGACTGATTAACATGTTGTGGAGCCGACTAAATTAAAAAAAATATGGATGGATGGATGGATATTTGGTGGTGGCCATCTTGTATTTTGATGTGGTAACACGACATTTGATACTTGTCTTTCTTACGCCCAGATGCAGCCACTCAAAGTGGATGTTGGCACATGGCTTATTTTTGACTCAATAATTTGAGGAAACTAGCTTTAAGCAATATACAAACTAGAAAGCACAGTTTTCCCAGTTTACTGGGGTGACCAGTTTTACATACACAGTATATACTGTATGGGGTGGTCATCTTGGATTTTGACGTGGCAACTTAATTTATGATATAGTAGACCCTTTTTGCGCATAAATTCAGCCACTCACTAAAACTGAAGTTGGCATGTTGATTATTTTTTAAGTTATCCAGCTCACAACAGGAACGGACATATACTGTATGTCATTACTGTTGAAGGGGAAATTTTTCACAGCTTCTTTGTAAATGTACCCTAAGCTGTATGATATACTGCTACTAAGTCATAGCACACATTTCCCATTACACCGCACACTTTAAAGTTCTTTTGAATGGGTTTTACTAAAACTGCCAGAGAAAATTTTAAAAACAGCAGAATACTAATATAGGTAGGTGTAGGTGCATTGGCACCCTTAATTACACTCACAATACACAAAAGTTTCTGCTTTGCACTTCCCTAATTTTTCTTTAATTTAATTCATATCATTAAAATATTAAGTATGGGTGTTTGCTTAACATGGTTTCACTGTTTTTGTTTTTTACATTTATGCTGTAGATGCAAACTTAATTAGGAGCATAAAATATCCTTTGACATTATTGGCGTCTGTGTGAAATAACTTTACCTCGACGGTGAGGGTAGTATAAACTCCGTGGTAGAAGTACAGGTCGGTAGAGCTGTCGTTGGGTCTGTGTGCGATTCTTAGGTCACAGTATCTGACCCCACAGTCCAGCTGCTGCTTTATGGTGTACTCCTGCATGACAAAGGATGTACAAATGGAGTTATTATAGTACAAATCCAGATTTAAATCTGTTTTCGACAGTGTGACAAGTCAAGTTTCACTACTTGAGTTATTGCCCACTTGTACACAAAGGGGCGAATGAAGGGCTTCATGTATTTGTCCAGTTTTTGAAGCACGTCTGGCTGCATGGGGTCAACAGGAGATCTGTCGTTCATATCCAGGCAATACGTTATTGCATTGTGGCTACCTGAAAGGAGCAAAGTTTAAACATTTAATCATGACAGGACATACTGTACATATTTGAAGCTACAGCTGCGCTGACTTGGAATGATCGATATGTTGTAATTAAAGCAGCACAACTGTAGTCAAATCAATTCAGTTTATTTATATAGCGCCAAGACACAGCAGAAGACATCTCAGGGTACTTAATGAACAGAAACATTCATAAGCATAAAAAGTAAGTTAATAACATTATTTATCTGAGGAGCAGACTGCTTAGAGTCTAACTTCATCACAGAACATCTTGAGCAAGCTTAAAGGCCACAGTGGAAAGGAACAACTCCCTGATGAAGAAGAAAGCTCCAGCAGAACCAGACATCAACTGGTGGTTTGTAAGCTCATTCTGTCCAGTCTGCAAAAATTTACATTATTAATGAATCAATCTGACACAAAGATCAGTCCACTTCCTCACAGCGTATGACTCGAGTAGGATACGTGCACAGTGATAAAAGTAGCCTGTGGAGTACATCATGACTCTCTGGCTGTTTCACTCAGATATCCCCACTATTCATTAGTGAGGAAGCCATGTTGGATTTTGAGGTTGAAGCTGGTCAGTACGCAGTCTTTTTATTTGGCGTTCTGCCAACATTGCACTTGGAAAACTCCAGAATGCCAAGACTATGCACAACATTTTTCAAACTGAGCCTATTCAAAACATGTGTCAACAGACTCCCACCTCAAAACACCTGAACTCACTTTTTTATTATTTTCAGGTTGAAAACGCTTATGTTCATTATTTTTTTTAAATAAATTTATTACTATTATTTGGCATCATAAAAAAATGTCTACAGTTGTACATATTTATGTAAAGTGATAATCACAACCAAAACTTCTCAGTTATAAAGCTAAAGTAAATTATTATCGAACAACTTTGGAAAATACAACTCCAATTTCAAGAAAACTGGGGACGTGTAATATATATATATATATATATATATATATATATATATATATATATATATTATACACACTGTACATATGTAGATTGACAAATCACACCTCACACCTTAACAGTAGGGTTTTTATTTTCAATACTTTATTTAAGCGTTTTTAAATGTGTAAAACATTAATAAAACATTAAAAAAAGAGAACAACATGTCAATATCCCTACTCGACCCACCCCAAAGTGGAGAAAAAATAAAAATCAGGAAAGCAAAACTGTACAAAAGCGACTGGACTGACAGATAGTGAAATGTGGCAACCTGTTAAAATGACATGACTATGCAGAATCTAATAGAGGCACTGGCATGGTGCCCA